GAAATTATTGAACAATATCATTAATATCGCATGCAAGTAAAATCTTACTGAAGATAATTCAAAAACAGTTGCAGCAGTATATTGACAGAGAACTTCCAGAAATGCAAACCAGATTCAAAAGAGGATGTGGAATGAGGGATATCATAGCTGATGTTAGATGGATCTTGGCTCAAAGCAAAGAATACCAGAAAGATGTTTACTTGTGTTTTATTGACTATATGCAAAAGCATTTGATTGTGTGGATAATAACAAATTATGAATAACATTGAGAATAATGGGAATTCCAGAACACTTAATTGTACTCATGAGGACCCTGTACATAGAGAAGGAGGCTGTCGTTTGAATTGAACAAGGGGACACTGCATGGTTTAAAATCAAGAAGGGAGTGCATCAGGGTTGTATCTTTTCACCATACTTATTCAATCTATATGCTGAGCAAATAATCTGAGAAGCTGGACTATATGGCATCAAGATTGGAGGAAGAATCATTTACAACCCGCAATATGCTGACAGCACAACTTTGCTTGCCGAAAGTGAGGATGACTTGAAGCACTTACTGATGAAGATTGAAGAATATAGTCTGCAGTATGGATTACATCTCAATATTAAGAAAGCACAAGTCCTCACAACTGGATCAATAAGCAGCACCACAACAATGGAGAAAAGACTGAAGTTGTCAAAGACTTCACATTGCTTGGTTCTACAATCGATGCCAATAGAAGCAGCAGTCAGGACATCAGATGATGTGTAGCACTGGGCAAGTCATCTGCAAAGGACCTCTTTCAAGTGCTAAAGAGCAAAGATGTCTCCTTGAGGACTAAGGTGCACCTGACACAAGTCAAGGTATTTTCAATTGCCTCACATGCATGTAAGAGCTGGATAATGAATAAGGAAGACCTAAGAAGAGTCGATGCTTTTGAGTTGTGGTGCTGGTGAAGAATGTTGAAAGTACCATGGACTGCTAGAAGATCTAACAAATCTGTCCTGGAGGAAGTGTAGCTGGAATGCTCCCTGGAAGCAAGAATGCCCAAACTTTGTCTCACATACTTTGCTCATGGTGTCAGAAGGGACCATTCCCTGGAGAAGGATATCATGTTTGGTAAGGTGGAGGGTCGATGAAAGAGGGGAAGGCCCTCAACGAGATGGATTGACACAATAGCTGCAACAATAGGCTTAAGTATAGCAGGGACCGCAGAGCTGGCGCAGGACCAGGTGGTGTTTCGTTCTGCTGTGCATAGGGTCACTATGAGTCAAAGATGACTCGTTGGCATCTAACAACAACAACAACAGGCCTAGAAGGGCCCTTGCTTAGCATGTGAGCCGACAGGGAATGGAACCCTGAACTGAGGAGGCTGTAAAATAAATATTTGCTGCCTTGAGCCTGACTGTTGTCACTGGCATTCCTTTACACGGACTTATGGGAAAGCTTGGGCTCTAGATGAAGCTGTTTGGATTTGAAGTCCAGCTCCATGACTTATTTGCTATGCTGCTTTGGGCAACTTCAACATTTCTAAGTGTGAAAGGGGATAATAATGGTATCTCCTTCCTATAGTTTAGAGGATAACAAAACATCATAAAATAGGTTGAACCACATGAAATTGCTGCTGTTCAACCAGTTCAACATGCAAAAAATGACAATTTTGTGTTGTTGGATTGAATACATAATCTTTAGATTAGTATAGTAGTTCTCACTTGTCTGCACTGTAGGATTTCCTCTAGATCATTTTAAAATCCTAAAGCCCAGGTCACACCACAGACCAATTAAATCACAATTTCTGCAGGTGGAACACCTCCCCAGGTGATTCTAATGTACAGGTAAGTTTAGGGACCCCTGACTTAGCACAGAACCTGAAATACAGGGAAACATTCAATCCACGTTAGCCACTTCTACTTTTTATTCACCCATCATTTATCCTCCCCCCCCCCCAGTTATTGTTTATTGAGCACTTACTTCATACCAGACATTGGGCCAAGCCTGCCTCGTTGGGCAAGGGGATGCTCCAACCAGCGCTCACCTCTTGTCCTTCTTTTCTGCAGTGTCCAGACCACGGAGCTCCCCAGATGACTTGAAAGCGCTGACTCGGAACGTGAACCGGCTGAACGAGAGCTTCCGGGACTTGCAGCTGCGGCTGCTGCAGGCTCCGCTTCAGGCGGACCTGACGGAGCAGGTCTGGAAGGCGCAGGACGCACTGCAGAACCACTCAGACTCGCTACTGGCACTGGCGGGCGTCGTGCAGCGGCTGGAAGGGGTGCTGTGGGGGCTGCATGCGCAGGCGGCGCAGACAGAACAGGCTGTGGCCCTGCTGCGCGACCACACTGGCCAACAGAGCGACGCGGCGCAGCTCGAGCTCTACCACCTGCAAGTGGAAAGCAACAGCAGCCAGCTGCTGCTGCGGCGCCATGCGGGCCTGCTCGACGGGCTGGCGCGCAGGATGGGCCTCCTAGGCGAGGAGCTTGCTGACGTGGGCGGTGCGCTGCGGGGACTCAACCAGAGCCTATCCTACGACGTTGCCCTTCACCACACGCGGCTGCAGGACCTGCAGGTGCTGGTGAGCAACGCCAGCGAGGACACACGCCGCATGCGGCTGGTGCACATGGACATGGAGCTACAGCTCAAGCAAGAGCTGGCCATGCTCAATACTGTAACTGAGGATCTGCGTCTCAAGGACTGGGAGCACTCCATTGCACTGAAGAACATCTCCCTTGCAAAAGGTATTTGCCTGACCCTCCTGAGTCTAGCCTTAGACCTCTCTGCAAGAGGGGATCCTGCCTTGGTCCAATCCTGCTCAAGACTCCCCGCAGTAGCCCCTCCCGGAAAGCCCAGGGGTCAAAATGGCATTCAGAACCCATACACCTCTTTTAAGTCTTGCTTTAAGTTTTCTGCTCAAATGGCCCTGTGCCCACGTCCAGGGCACACTCAAGTCTCTCCCCTGGGTAAATCCTCCATAGGGCAAGAGCACACTCAGAGTCCACACCCCCTAAGCATGAGAAGAGGCCAATGATGGCTAATGGAAGCAGGATAGTCAGATCTTGGATATGCTGGCTTGAGCATCCAAGAATTTGGGGCTACGGGGTAAAGAAGGGAATGAGGTTTCAGGCTCAGATGGGGAACTGGAAGGGGCTTCTCCAGTATCATCATGTTCCAGTGGTGGAACTCTAAGAAGTTTGATGATCCCAAATTTGAATTGGGCTCCTAGGCTGTTATGAAGATTTTTCATCCAGGTAAAAGAAAATATTTTATTAAACAATTTGTTGGGTTGATTTATAACTCATACATATGATGGCAGAAATGTGTGGGTCGCTATACATACTCTTGCCCTGGTCCCCTCAAATATTAAAGCCTATAGGCCCCACTTCCCTCTCTTCTACCCTGCCCTCTGCCCCCTTGCTCCATCCCTTTCTGCTGCTGACGTGCAGAGTACATCACTATCAGAGGCATTTTTGATGAAATGCCCTTTTCCGGCATCACTCTCCTGCTCAAAACCCACCATAGCTCCCTAAGATCTGCTGGATTCATTAAAAACCCATTAGCATGACAGCAGTAATAATAATATCATTTTGAATACTTACTGTGTGTCAGGTACTGTGCCAAGCATATTACATACAGTATCTTTTAAATATAACTCTGTGTTATCCCTATTTTATTCATGAGTGCACTGACATTCAAAAGCCTAAATAATTTGCCCACAGTCACAGGGCTAGGAAGTGATGGAACCAGGATTTGGACCCAGGTCTCTTTGATTCCAAAGCTAGTATGCTTTGCATCACATTCCAATTCTGTCCTTCCTGCCTTCTCTTCCTCTGTTCCCCTAATCCAGGGTTGCAAACAGAATCGTCTGAAGGAATCTGTTGAGCCATGTAAATGTGTAAAGTGATCTAGGTGTCAGGGGTGTGGTAGGGGCTATAGAAATATGTGGAGCAGCCACTACTCAGTCCAGCCGATTTTTGGCAGGCTGGAATGTGGACCCAGATTGACGTGGTCTTCCTATTTTTCAAGAGAAGCCAGAAACACAGAATTTTGTGGAAATTTTTTAATTGTTTAACTCTGTGGGCCAAACAAGATACATATATAGTCCATATATGGCCCACATACTGGTATGAATAGTCTGGTCCAGTGGGACACATCTTCCCACTGCCTAGAAGCACAGCACACCATTCCCACTGATATACCTTTGCTTAAACTATTCCTCCTAACTAGAACTCCCTCCACATTCCCCTTCTTCATCACCTATCCAAATCCCACAGATCCCTCAAAATTCAACTTAAATCTGCTTCTGCCAAGAAAGCCCCCTGACCTCCTATCTCACTGTACTCTCCTTCCTCTGGGTTTCTATATTTATCAGAGAAAAGTCGTAATGATGAGAGCTTCCATTCATGTAATACTTTCTACTTTACAGAACATTTCAAGTATGTTGTTTTAAAGTAGGTGCTCATGACAACCTATGAGGTTGGTTTGAAAAATCACCAAACCAAACCCACTGCTGTCAAATTGATTGTGACTCTATAAGACAGCATAGAATTGCCACATAGGGTGTCCAAGGCTAAAATATCTACAGAAGCAGGCTGTCAAATCTGTCTTTCATGGAGTGGCTAGTGAGTTTGAACATCAGCATTTTGGATAGCAGTAAAGAGCTTTAACCACTGTGCCACTGGGGCTCCTGAATTTGGTTTGTTGTTGTTGTTAGATGGTGTCAAGTTGGCTCTGACTCATAGCAACCCTATGTACAACAGAACAAAACATAATCCTTGCTATACCTGAGCCCATTGTTGCAGCCACTGGGTCAGTCCATCTTGTTGAGGGCCTTCCCCTTTTTCTCTGACCCTCCACTTTACCAAGCATGATATCCTTCTCCAGGGAATGGTCCATTCTGACAGCACAACCAAAGTGGGTAGGATGAAGTTTGGCCATTCTCACTTCCAAGGAGCATTCTGGCTGCGCTTTTCCAGGACAAATTTGTTGGTTCTTCTGACAGTTATGGTACTTTGAATATTCTTCGCCAACACCACAACTTAAAAGCATCAACTCTTCTTCGGTCTTCCTTGTTCATTGTCCAGCTCTCACATACTTATTAGGTGATTGAAAATATGTTATTGAAGGAGGGATAAAATTCCTATGGGAGAAAATGGAGGCTCAGAGAGGCCACCTGGCTTACTCAAGGGCATATGGTTGCTAACAAAATATCCAACCCAAAACAGCTTGAATGAGATATAATTTAAATTCACTTCTCTGATGGCATTGTGCCTAAGGCATTTGACTGCTACCAGAAAGTTGGCAGTTCAAACCCACTAGCCACTCTGTGAAAGGAAGACTGGGCAATCTACTTCTATAAAGATTTACCGCCTTGGAAACCCAAAGGGGTCACTATGAGTTGGAACTGAGTCAATAGCAGTGAGTTTGGTTTTTTTTTTTTTTTTTGGTCCATTTAAAGTGTACAGTTCAGTGCCAAACCAGTACTTTTAATTTGTTCGTAACTGCCTCCTCCAGGACCTAACAGTACAATACACGTCATTGGGACTCACTGAATATTTATTGAAGTGGGAAGGAGAGGGCATGGTCCCTTGGAGTCTGTTCTTGCATTCAGAGTCAGCCCTTCCCAGGCACTCTCCCTTTGCTTCCTCTGCTAGTCAACAGCCATCTCTAGACCAGACTTTTGTGCTATTCAGCCATGCTTTCTGCTAATGTGTCGTCCTTCTAGACCTTACTGAACTTTTTATATGCTGGCCCTTTAATTTCTAAAGCCACTGTCCATGGCTCTAACTGAAATTTCTCCGGGTCACTCCTTTGCCAGGGTTCTTCCAGTGGAATCTCCCAAGGAGTCTTTACTTGCATCTTAGTTTCTCACTGTTCTTTGAACTAAAAGTTTCCTCTCTATCCTGCTTAGGCCTACCTTCTAATCATTACACTTTGATTTCATGATGGGCTCTTGGCTTTTTACAGTTGAGCACCACTCACCCCCTCCAGCTCCCCGTATTACCACTTGTTGTTGTTGTTAGGTGCTGTCGAGTCAGCTCCAACTCATAGTGACCCCATGTGCAACAGAACAAAACGTTACCCAGTCATGCACCATCCTCCCAATCTTTGCTGTGCTTGAGCCCATCATTGCAGCTACTGTGTCCCACTGCATCTTATATCTCCTTTACCCACCTCCCTCCCTCATGGCTGCATACCTGACTGGTATTATTTAAGAAATTTCCATTGATATACTTGATTGTAATTGCCATTCAACTTTTGGAGAGGGAGTGTTTTACCAGATAATCTTTCCTACATTTACATACTGCTGTCTGAAATGATCTTTCTGTCTTAGCTTTGTCCAGTTCTTCTCTTCACGTCCGTACACACACACACACACACACACACAGAACACACACTCTCACTCTTTTCTCTTTCTTAGCTCATAATGCACAGATGCTCAACTGAATATATTTTTCAGATATGAGCTTATTTATATTATTCTTGAGTCTACTCCTGTCATGGTTTTGGTTCTCTCATTTTGTTATACAGTTTTCTATGAGTTTTGTCTCCAGTTTGTCTTTTGTGTACGTCCACAGTGGTGGTGTCTGCATTGTATTTTCACGTTCACTCAGGTCGGTTGAAATCTGTGGCTTTTAAAAAAATTATTATTATTACTATTTTTTATTATTTTATTGTACTTTAGGTGAATGTTTCCAGGGCAAATTCATTTCTCATTCCACAGTTTGTACATAAAGTGTTCCATGACAGTGGTTGCATTCCCCACAATGTGTCAGCACTATCTCCATATCCACATAGGTTTCCCTGTTTCCTTTCCTCTGAATTTTCTACCCCTTTCTGCCTTCTCATCTTTGCTTTTGGGCAAATGTGGTCCCTTGATCTCATATAATTGATTGTTCTAAGAAACAGGTTCCTCACAGGTGTAATTATTTTATGGGCCTATCTATTATTTGGCTGAAAGGTAGTCTCTGGGAATAGCCTTAGTACCAGTTCAGAATGGTGTCTTAGGACCATAGTCTCAGGGATTCTTCCATTCTCTGTCAGACCAGTAAGTCTGGTCTTTTTTGTACATTTGATTTTTTGTTCTACATTTTCTACTGCTCTGTCCAGGACACTCTGTTATGATTCCAGTCAGAGTGATTTGTAGTGGTTGCCAGGCATCATTTAGTTCTATTGATCTTGGGGTCAGGTAGACTGTGGTTCATGTGGACCATTAGTCCTTTGGACTAATTGCTCCCTTGAGTCTTTGGTTTTCCTCACTCTCCTTTGCTCCAGACAGGAAGAGACAAATAGTTGTATCTTAGATGGCCGCTCTCAAACTTTAAGACACTACTCACTGAAATAGCATGCAGAACATTCTCTTTATAAATTATGTTGTACCAATTGACATAGATATCACCCAAATCTATGGTCCTTTGCCTTAGAGCCTAGGAACTTCATCCTAGGTGTTTGGTTATGTCTAAGAAGTTTCCATGACTGGAATACTATGATGTGCCCCTAGTGTGTTCTATTGTCTATATGAATATACATACAGCAGCTACAATTATATATGTAGTAATATCCACAACCAACCTATATCTGAAGGTGGGTGTGCTTCCTTAAACCTTTCCACACCTTTTTAGCATACCTATCTATCTATGTGTCCATTCATAAATTATTGTTTATTAGTACTATTGTTTCAGGATTAAATTGTGTCCCTACAAAATATGTGTCAATTTGGTTAGGCTGTAATTCTCAGTAT